ATCCATCTGGAACCTCTCAGTCCATGGGACAATGCTCAACCCACTGAGCCACCTGTCAATAATTTTTAAAGTATTTTTATCAGATATGGTAGCAAAATGATGTATAGCAGTGTTCATGACTGAAGATGGAGAAGCATCTCCCTGCATTCAATCACCCCATGCTTGAGAGTGTCAGATTTTCTCCTTCTTTACTGACATCTCTGAAGGGAGGTCTGTGAGTTCTTTAGAAGCATCCATTCACATACAATAGTATCTAATGAACTGATGCTATTTCTCCCTTAAAATGTTTTATAAAACAGTCATATGTGACATACTATGCTCTTTTTTATTCTTTTGTCTTTTTAAAATAAACTTTCACTCTCCCCCAAAAAATAAAAGTCCTGAGATCACATCATCACAATCCTTTTGATAGATAGTGATGATAAAACATGAGTTTCTGGAAACTACTGTGAATAAAGGAGGAAATGTATTTTTCTATGTAGAGTATAATGCATTCCCTATAGGTCAAAAGACTTTTTATATCTTTATTTATTGATTGATTGATTGAGTGAGTGATTGATTGATTCTTTATTGATTTTAGAGAGAAAGGAAGGGAGAGGGAGAGAGAGATAGAAACATCGATGAGAGAGAACATCAATTGGCCACCTCCTGCATGCCCCCCCCCACTGGGGATTTGGCCCACAACCTGGGCATATGCCCTGACCAGTAATTTAACCAGCAGCCTCTTGGTGCATGAGTCAATGCTCAACCACTGAGCCACACTGCCCAGGCTGGGTCAAAAGACTTTTAATCCCTATCCCCAAAAGGACATGTAATAGCAAACACTGAAGTACTTAAGACATGTGTTAACCCAGGGACTGAGTTCATCAGCTAATCAACCATTGAGAAACTATTCATTTACATACACTTAATTTCCAGAATCTATTTGGGATGAATCAAAAATTTATTTTCTGTGTTTGCCCTCTTATGTAATCCTTGTCTTTATCCTATTATCCTCTGTATCAGATAAAGGGTGGAGGCTGACCCAAACAGCTTAATTTCATAACCTCCTGAATCCATCACCTTTCAGCAGATCAGCCAAAGAGAGGCACTGATGAGAGTGTGTAGGGCATGAGGAAAGAAGAAGCCTCAATATGTCTTCACCTTCCTCTCTGACTCAGTTGGCAAATTCGACAGCACCATGGCTTTTCATGACATCCTCTACCCGACAGGCCACTCATGCTTCCAGCTACCACAGGAAAACACCAGCTCTGATGGCCCAGTAGCCCACCTTTTGACTTCATCCCTTCAGTCTTGATATGATGACAGCTTCCTACTACTGCTCATCTTTGGACCGTTTGACCACTCTCTATTGCTTCTGCACCATCACCTAAGTAGCCAGTTCCTTTCCATACATTCCTTCTGTTGAAAACACTTAAAATGTTTTCTTATTTTCTGGCTGAATACCAACTAACTTCATTCTAGTGTATGCACTTTTAAGAGGATTTGTGAATATGCATTGCAAAAACCTTGGGAAGCATTTTCGTTGTTTGGAATAGAATAAGAAAGAGGAACATTGTACAGCGGGAAAGGGCAGGAGCTCTATCGTCAAGGTCTTTCTATACCTTTCTCATGTACGTTTCCTAAGGACACCTGAAGAAAGAAGCATTCTTCAACAACAAAGTAGTGTGGTCAAGCTTTGATTCAGTGGGCTATATTGGGACTATTGTCTCTTTTCCCAGGAAAAGCTACATACAATAACCGGTTTAAACTGGAACCCATCAAAAGCACGTAAATGGCACATACTTTTGATTGAAAAGGAAGAAAACCAATGTTAGGATTTACAAGGCAATATAATTCTTAACAGCCATTTTGTAGGTTTCCCCACCATGGGAGAACAAAGACCAGAAAGGCTTGTTGAAGCTTCCTGCCTCAGAAGAACAAAGATCAGGAGGATTTGTCAGAAAGAAAATGCCGGACACCAGGAATCAAACCTTGTAAGGAACTACAACAGCCAAAGTAGCACTGGATCACACATCTGCATTTCTGCAGACCCAACCCCATTGCCCAAGCCCATCAACCAAACCCTCAAAACCCATGACTGACAATAGTTTCCGGCCAGTGGATACATATAAGGAAGAAACTTCAGCTCCTAGGGACTGCCATCACCCATCATCCAGCCAATACCCCATGGCTTAGTGCTGTGTAGCCCTTCCCTTTAGATATCCCCATCCCCCATCCTCTTTTCTTGAAATAAATCCAATTTTCCATTATTCATTATCTGAGATTGCTATTTAGTCTGCCCAAGTACCACCAACTTTAACCTTTCACCAAATCTTAGTGCTTACAGCATTGTCCAATTTGAGACACATTGTCCTGGCTGAGTTAAAAAAAAAAAAAAACTGTATAGACAGTTTTGCTTGTATATTCTTAACACAAAACACTAAAATCCCACACATGCAAACAGAGACAGGAACTCTGAAGACATATGCACCAATTGTACAGTCCTTCCCATTGCTCGGCCCAAGCTGAGGTGAGTAGGGCACATGTAAACTAAAAAAATCCACAGTAGGAAGAGACCATCTAGTTATCAGTCGAACTGTTGTGGCAGAAATTTGGATAGAGGGAAGAGATAGACTAGAAAATGACTGTTTAGTGTGCACCGGTGCTGGCCCAGTGGAGTCACCTCCAAAGGCTAAGTCCCAAGCCCGGGTTCCAGTAGCCTTTTATACATGATAAGCTTCCCGGTATTTGGGGGTCTTCTAGTTCCACTGTAAGTTTAGGCAGTTGGCGGAGGTAAGGGGATTACAAAAGCCAGGGGCAGGGTCTCTGCACTGCCTAAGGGGGTTGTCTGCAGAATGCTTGCCTTCTCAGAATCAGTTCTACAAATAGTTACTTAGTCCCTAGAGTGGGCAAAGGAATATGCCAATTAGTATGTCCTGAAGTTTGACAACTCAGGGTCATTGAATAAGGAGAACCAAACATGCTCTTCAAAGTTGTGCAAATAAAAAGCAACATCATTCAAAGGAAGATACCTACCTACTCAACAAGCCAACAGCCTGAATATTTTTCTTATTTCCTTAGACTCTGTCCCAACTAGTCTCTGTCTCTCCTTTAGCTCTTAGTCTGCAATTACTAAACTAACATAGCTTGTGCCTTCCCATGGAGCTTACTATTGTTATATTTTCTTTCTTTTTTCTTCAAATCATTGGGATCCATTTCTTCACCAGTTGGCTAGTTGCAATGGTAAGAAATTTTAAAACAGCAGAATCTAGGCCTACAACCTAGAGCCACACACCGCAATGTGAAAATTAATTTCAACAACTTTTGTCTATTTACATAACACAGACAGGTTGGATCAACCTAATCCCATTAAGTGTTTTTTAAAGCAATGTTAGTCATCTGACATTTTAGTACATTATTATTTATTGCTTCTTCAGTCTTCAGCATCTATGGCATGTTCTGAAAGTGTTTTCACACCTTTAGCAGACACAATGTTGGTACCCTATCCGTATCACCTCACCTGCTCCAGTCGGTGGGCATCAACCTGAAACCAACAACCAGACCTGATTTTCTTTGCCTGTGGGTCTTTTTCATGACACTGGAACCTGCTCTTCCTACCCTATACCAGATCAAACCAACCAGGGAATTCAGGGACTTCTGCAGCAGGCCTCAACCAATAAACTTCTTTCCTGGGTGGCATATACCTGAGGAATGTATGAACAGTCCCCAGAGAGATAAGAACTAGTCACCTGTGGTGGTGCTTTGCTTATTAATGCACCTTTACTGTCCACCTTCACTACCCTGTATCACTGCCCTCCTCCCTTCTCAGTGTTCCCTTCACCCACAATTTGCATTCAAAATCTTATCTCAGGGGCTACTTCTAAAGGAATGCAAACGGAAGCAAAACCAAATTTTTTCTCAACTCTCTGGAGGATCATCAGCCAGTCTCAACAAAGTGAATCAGCCTCCTGTGTATTTTCCAGGGAGGAACCACGTGACTAAAGCTGCCGTGATTAAGGCAGAAAATAACAGTTGCAGCAACACTTCTTCTTCCCGTGCTCGGCCTTCTCCCCTGTGCAGCAGGTCTGGCCTATTTGATCAGGGCACCTTGGGGTACAATGACATAGAAAAGCCCCATATCGAAAATTAAGATGAAAACGTACTCAGAAACAAAGGCCATGGATATCCTGCCCTTGTAATTACAGTTGGCCATGCACACTTACTGATCAGCTTTGTTTCTTCACTTATCAGTTTGCCATTTGAGATGCCAGTGGATGATAAAAACATGATATCCTTTTTCTGACCATTGTGATGACTCTATTTTTGTTTCTCTGACTATATAAAACTAAAAGTTAGGTGCAAATTAGTGCCAATTTAGTTGACTTTAGAATCTCAAGCAGTGAACTGGGAAAGGATCATGATAAAGTGTATCTATTCTGTCTGACTCATGGTATCATGTTGTTGTTTGGGGTGATAAATATGTTATCTTTCCAAATACAATGTAATAGACTTTACACAAAGTCTGGCTTCCAAAATAAGGGGTGTCTATGAGTCAAGACCGTACTTCTATTGTTAGCCTCTAAGATTTTCCATTACTTAGTAACTTCTCCACATTATACACCATTACACAGAACCATAAAGAGTAGTTATTTGCTGTGGAGAGTTCCGTTCCTTTAGTGTTCAGATTTCAAATTAGGTTTAGGCAAATAAAAAGAAACAAAATGTTAGCTTATTGAGAGAAGCAATTAATAATCTATTTCCATTGCTTTAGGCAAAACAAAACAAGCTCTAAATTAAGGAGGCATTATTTGGTTGGTTGAAAAAATCGCAAAGATGGTAAATTGGTGTTTCCATTGTTTTTGTTGTCTAAAGTCCTCATTGGCCAAAGAGAGAAACCATATGGTTTACAAATGAATGCAATGAACTTTCCAGACAAGTGTTGACACACTGTGAACTGTCAAAGTCAAAAAGGACATTGTCAGGAGAGAAAAGCAAAGACAAGCTGAGAACTTGAAAGGCATATAGCTACTCTGCTGTCCTCGCTCAGGGTTGCCATGCACTCAGGGATGTCAAGAAAACAGAAGCATAGAGCCTGGGATAAAACAAGGAAAGAGGCAGATTATAATAACAAGGTGAAGAGGCAAAGAACCCACTGTCACAGAGAACCTCCCATTGCTTAATTTCAATTTAAGGGGTTATTTCAATGCATGGCCTATGGAAATTTAATGATATGTTATGGTTCATCAGAACTTGTCAGTTGGCCCCAAGCTGCGATAATCAACTTTTCAATGTCAGATTCATTTACTCCTCGAAGAATCCTGAAATAGCCGTTCTCTCCCCATGAATGTCCCCAGGAATTGGCAGCAATCTGCAGGAAAACAAAAAAATAAAAAAGCTGAGTAACACACTTTGATATTTTAAAATTCTGCCTATAAATACAAAGGGAATGCATATGTGGTTTGAAATGCGTTTAGACTTATTATCAATTGTAAGTTGTTAAGAATCTAAATACGTTCTAAATGAGAATAAAATGGTTACATTGTTCATCAGTTAAATGAATATGCATGTATATTCACGTTGACAATAACAGAATTGGTGTAACACCTCTGAGTCCCTCAGAAGACAACAGTAACATGCACAAGAGCTCAAAATGTTGCATCAGAAGACACAGCTACAGTCATACTGTCTCCTATGTGACTGGCCCACTGCTAGGCACTTGAGGAACAAGGACAAATAATGCACCATCCTGTGTTCAGGGACCTTGTGATCTAATGAAATGCGACCACATAAAGCGAGTGCTAGGGTAGAAATATGCAGAGGGTGCTTCTGAAGTCAGCAGAGGGGAATCTCACTTATTTCAATGGTTCAGGGAAGTTGTCATTAGTGAAGATAATGTCAAGGTTTTGAGTTGTGTTCAGTGTAAGAACAAGCTGGAAAAAAACTGTATTTTGATTGCATTATTTTGTAGGAAATGAGATGGCTAGATTTAAGAAGGTAGGCAAAAAAGGAAACGAAAATAGTGAACTTGTTATAATTCAGTTGGAAGGCTTAATAGGGGCAGGGAAAATAGGGCAAGGAACAGAGAAATGTTCAGAAAATAAAATCAATAAGAGTGAGAAAATTTCTTGCATATTTTTTATTTTTATTCTTTATAAAAATGAGGATGTTTAGCGAGAGAGCTGAGATAGGTTCAGGATGTCTCCTGGGTTTAGAGCTTGAGGGAATAAGTGTACAGGAAAGCAAAAACATCACTGCAGTGTACAAAGAACAACATGAAGGCGAGGGGCACACAGAAGGGAGTCAGCTGACCACAACTAACGCAACACAACAGCCCAGTAAGATGGCTGAAATTATTCATGGGATTTGGTAAATTAGACACTTCACAACAAGAGCCTCTACACTTGCCTCACACTCGTTACACACTGGGCCTAAGATGGAAAATGTTCTCAGATGTGATCTGCAGTGACTGCAGTGATATTCTCAAGGCGTATAATGTTGCAGTGAACTTTGTCTGTAAACCAGGCAAGAGGGCAGATTCACTCAGCACCGAAACTGTCAGCTCCAAGACAAAACTGACTCATTATTTCTTCTAATATTTGACTTTTTTGCTTTCTTTTTTCCCCTGGCTTTATTGAGATATTATTGAAATAGAAAACACGTAAATTTAAGGTGTACATGTGACTAGACACACATATATATTGCAAAATAATTACCCTAATGATGTTAGTTAACAACTCGGTTTCTTTATATGTTTATGCCTTGTGTTTGTATGTGGTGCTAACACGACCTACTCTCTTATCAACTTCCAAATATATAATACAGTACTGATAATTACAGTTGCTATGCTGTGCATTAGATCCTCCATTCTTATTTATACTAAAGCTGGGAGTTTGTACCCTTTGACTAACATCTCCCCAATTCCCTTAACCCCAAGCCCCTGGCCACTATCATTCTCTTCTCTATTTCTATGAGTTCACCTTTTTTAAATTCTGCATGTAAGTGAGAATATATATTTTCTTTGTCTTTCTAATTTCACTCAGTATAATATCCTCAAAGCCCATTCATGTTGTCAAAACAAAAACAAAAACAGAATTGTCTTCTTTAAGGCCGAATAATATTTTATTGTACAATATACAATAGGTATATTGGGTGTGGCAAAAGTAAGTTTATAGGTGTTCATATGGAAAATAATATAATAATTCATAAATAATACGAGGATAAAGTCTATGTTTCATGTACATATAACTATAAACCTACTTTTGCCCCATCCTGCATATAATACATCTTAATCCACTCATTTATTTATAGACACTTAGGGTGTTCCCATGTTTTGGTTATTGTGAATAATGCTACAATAAACAGGGGAGTACAGACATGTCTTCAACATTACTTTTTTATTTCCTTTAGATATATACTCAAGAAGTGGGATTTTGTCTCACCATGTGGTAGTTCTATTTTTAATTCGATGAGCCTCCATGTTTTTCTTTGTAGCTGCACCAATTTACATCCCAATTGTGCACAAGGGTTCCCCTTTTTCCAGTCTCACCAGCACTTGTTTTGTGTCTTTTTGATAACAGCCATCCTAATAGGTGTGAGGTGATATCTCATTATGTTTTTGATTTCCATTTCCCCGACTGTTAGTGATGCTGAGCACCTTTTCACATACCTGTTGGCAATTTTTATTTCTTCTTTGGAAAACTATCTTCAAATTCTTTGATCATTTTTTAAATGGATTGTTTGATTTTTTTTTGGCTATTGAGTTGTATGAGTTCCTTAAATATTTTGAATATTAACCCTTACTAGATATATGGTTTGCAAACATTTTCTCCCATTTGATAGGTTGCCTTTTTATTTTGCTGGTTGATTCTTTGGTTGTGAAAAGCCTTTTAGTTAGATGTAGTCTCACTTGTTGAATTTTGCATTTGTTGCTTATGTTTTTGTTATCATATCAAAAATGTTTTCGTCAAGACCAATGGCAAGGAGATACGTTTTTCTACATTTTCTTCTGGGAGTCTTATGGTTTCCAGTCCTACAATTAATACTTTATTTCACTTCAGGATAATTGTCGAGGGTATTATAAGATAGGTGTCCAAGTTCATTCTTCTGTATATGATAAAGCAGTTTCCCCAAAATCACTTACTGAAGAGACTATACTTTCTCCATGCATCTTCTTGACTTCCTTGTCAAGTATTAGTTGATTCTATGTCAGGGGGTTTATTCTGGGTTCTCATTCTCTTCCATTGGTCTATGTATCTATTTTTATGCAAGTATCACAATTTTGATTACTATAGCTTTATAACAATGTTTGCAATCAGAAAGTGCGATGCCTTTAACTCCGTTGCTCTTTCTCAGGATTGCTTTGGCTCTTCCAGGTATTTTGTGGTTTTATATGAATTTTAACATTGTTTTATCAATTTCTGTGAAAAATGTCATTGAAATTCTTATAAGAATACATTAAATATATAGATGGCTTTGGGTTGTATGGACATTTTAACAGTACTAATTCTTCCAATCTATGAACATGGGGTAGCCTTTGATTTATTTGCATCTTCTTCAACTTATTTTTATCAATTTCTTATAATTTTGAGTATAACTTCTTGGTTAAATTTAATCCTAAGTATCCTTTTATGCTATTGTAAATAGGATTCCTTTTTTTCATTAATTTTAGAGAGAGAGGAAGGGAGAGGGAGAGAGAGATAGAAACATCAATGAGAGAGAACATTGATTGGCCACCTCCTGCATGCTCCCCCCTGGGGATCAGGCCCACAACCCATGTTGTGCCCTGACTGGGAATCGAACTCGCCACCTTTTGGCACATGGGTCGATGCTCAATCACTGAGCCACACCAGCCAGGTAGATTTTATTATTTCATTATTACATCATTTGTTGTTAATGTGTAGAAATGCAATTGATTTTTGTATGTTTATTTTGTATCCTGCAACTTTACTGAACTCATTTATCAGTTCTAATAGATTGTTGATGAAATCTTTAGAGTTTTTTACATATAAAATCATATCATTTGCAAACAGAGACTGTTGCACGTCTTCCTTTCCAATTTGGATGCTTTTTATTTCTTCTCCTTGCCTGATTGCTTGTTGGGACTTTCATTACTATAGCGAATAGGAAAAGTAAGAGTAGGCATCCTTGTTTTGTTCTTGACCTTAGCAGAAAAGCTTTCAACCTTTCATTATTGATTACAATGTTTGCTGTGGGTTTGTCACATATGGCATTTATTGTTTTAAGGTATTTTTTTTCTATACCCAATTTTCTGAGTATTTTTATCACAAAAGGATGCTGAATTTTGTCAAATGCTTTTTTTTATATCAATTGAAATGATCATATAAATTTTAGCTTTCATTTTATTAGTATGGTATATCACATTTATTGATTTGTAGCTGTCAAACTATCTTTGCATCCCAGAGATAAATCTAATTTGATAATGATATATGAGCTTTCAATGTACTGCTGAAGTCATTTTGCTAGTATTTTATTGACAATTTTTGCATCTATGTTCATCAGGGATATTGGTCTATAGTTTCCTTGGTTTGTAGTGTTCTTATCTGACTTTGTATCAGATTAGTTCTGGCCTCATAAAAGAAATTTGGGAGTGTGCTCTGCTCTAATTTCCTTTTTTGGAAGAGCATGAGAAAAAGTGGCTTTAATTCTTCATTTACTGTTTGGTAGACTTTACCAGTGAAACCATCTGGTCCTGGGCTTTTCTTTATTAGAAAGTTTTGAATGCTGATTCAATCTTCTCACTTACTATTCTGTTCAGGTTTTCTGTTTCTTCATGATTCAGGCTTGGTACATTATATGTTCTAGAAACATATATTTCATCTATGTTATCCAATTTTGGGAGAAAATGTTGGTCAAAGGGTGCAAACTTCTAATTATAAGATGAATAACTTCTGAGGATTTAATATACAGCAAGATGATTATAGTTAACAATAGTGTATTGTAACTTTGAAAGATGCTGAGAGAGTATATCTTGAACATTTTTACCACACACACACACAATGATAACTATATGATGTGATAGATGTGTTAACATGTCTTATTTTGGTGTGCATTTGGCAATACTTAATTTATATAAAATCATCACTTTATGCACATTAAACTTAAACTTATTTCAAACTTAGTCTCTTGACACACACATTTTGCATATGATATAAAGATGGGAAATGTTTGCTTTCAACTCTCCCAGAAATACTTTATCTTCACATACCATGAGAACTCTCTCTGTAGCCATTTGTCTAGTTAAGTGATCTTATCCCAAAGGATAATAAAATTTCTCTTATCTCCCCAAGAAGGCCAAAATGTCAGAGACCAGACAAGGTCCTAAATTAAGAACCAGGGTGCCAGGAGTACTGGAACATTATCTTCCTCCATATTTACACGTCAAAAAGTTGAAGCTCATGTTTTGAAGACATTATCTGATATTTAATTTATCTGGCCCTTGAAAAGATATATTTATATTCCTAAGGGCAAGGGTAAGAATAAAGTACCTTTTCCAGCTCATCTTAATGGAATAAAAGGTTTTTGGTTTTTTCTCTCCTTCTGGGAAAGGAGGAAGTTGCCTGTCTCTCTCCTCTGTTTAAATAGAGAAAATCCATTGGTGTCTGTCCTTTATTTATGGAGTATAAAATGCTGCCTCTATAGAAAAATCCCATTGGCTCTTGGGCTCTTATCACAGCAGCTGCATGACTCAAGGCTGTGACATCTGGCTGTTGACCTCATTTTGTCAATTAGAAACTTTCCTTCTGACCCAAGTGCCTTAATGCAAGTTGGACAACATCTCAGGCTCTTCACAATTCTTGCAACACAGTTCAACCATGCTTAAAGATTTTATAGTTTAAATAAAGCAATATTAAGTTTTATAGAAAAGAAAATAATTTCAGTGATGACTAAACACATAGATTAATGTTGTTATTCATTCACTCACTCAATAAATATTGTTTATGTTCCGACCGTGTACCAGTAACTTTGCTTTGCCCTTTGGATACATTGGTAAATAAAGCATATATGATTCTGGCCCAAAATAAATATATAGTTTAATGGAAGAAAAGTCAACCAAAGTGTTTATAGTAAAACAAAATATGATAAATCTTCAGTCTGATTCTTGTATTCCTACAACTTATGTTAAACAGTGTATCTAACAGAGTCACATAAGAAAGAAATCCTGCCCCTGTACCCATGACATAACTTGTCTTTAACATTTTGTGATAAGCCTGGCCGGTGTGGTTGAGTGGATTAGGCATCATTCTATGGAATGAGAGGTCCCGGTTCAATTCCCCGTCAGGGCACATACTCAGGTTGTGGGCTCGTTCCCCAGTAGGGGGTGTGCAGGAGGTGGCTGATTGATGTTTCTCTCTCATATTGATGTTGCCATCTCTCTCTCCCTACCTCTCTCTCTAAAACATCAATAAAAACACATTAAAAAAGTAATAAAATAAAAAATTTTGTAGTAAGTTCAGAATTGATTACAACAAAAAATGGTTTAAAAGAATAGATGCATGTTTTGAATATATTAGTGTGAGGGTGTATGTGTGTGCGTACTTTGTGTGTGTGTGTGTGTGTATGTGTGTGTGCACGCACCACCCATGGCACTCTAGGATGGAAATGATGAATCACAGAGTTTTATTTTTGCACTTAACATTATATTTTTATTTAATCAACATATTCATATTTACTCAACAAAGACTTATCGAGTGCTGTATGCTAAGAACTGTTGTGAGATAAATATATTAATCAAAAAACAAAATAGTTTTGTCTTTAAATACTATATTATTATGAGAATTTGAATAACTGTTCAAATTCACTTAATAAAAATCTCATTCAGAAACTAAGTTGTAGGTATTCAAATAATATATTTTTCACATATTATGAATTTTTAACTCTTGAACATTATTGTTACTATTGGCTAGTTGAAGCTTTATTTTAATGAGAAAAATGAAATCTAAGAAAGCTGAGTTTAAGTATAAAGACACATTATTCTGACACCATTATAAGTAACCTGGTTATTAATTAACAGGGAAGGAGCAAAGGAAAGAAAAAATAGATGCATGTCCAGTAAAGTCTGGGTGCTATGGGAAGGTACTTGCCTATCACTCACACTTGGAAACAGGTCATTGGCCAGAATAGGCATGGCCACTGCAAGGGCACAAAATCTGAGATATTTAAACTCTTAACAAAGGGGTCCTCTCTCTCTTGCATGCTGGGATCCTGGCTTTCTCGTTAGAGGGGGCACACACCCTGCATTCCCCAACATGACCCATAGCCACATGGACCCCACACAATAGACTAATGGACTGCAACTAGCCTGATGGTATGCAGGACTCAACTCCACATGGAATGGAAATTTTGGACATTGGCTTTGCTTTTAGCTCTGCTGAATCCCCAGCTACACCTCTTCTGGAATTGGATTAAGGGAAAAGGGACTCCAGAAATCAAGGGCTATAACTCCACACAAATAAAAATCACTCATTCTCCCATGTGAGTCATAGAAAATTCTTTTTCTCAAGATATCATAAGAACCTGAATCCCAGTTCCCAGTGGGGAAAGGAATACCCCACTTCCATTGGTAGACACATCATTTCTACCAATAACAATTCTACTTAAAAGCTCTCATATATCTATTGAACAAGATAATTTGATGAACAAAATAGATCCAGGGACATAGAAGTAGGGAACAGACTGACAAACCTCAGAGGGAAGGGGGGTAAGGGGGCAGGAAGAGATAAACCAAAGAACTTATACGCATATCTGCACAACCAATGGACACAGACAACAGTGTGGTGAAGGCAGGGGTGGGTGGGAGCAGGGTTGAAGTTGTCAATGGGAAATAAAGGAAAGACATCTGTAATACTTTCAACAATAAAGATAAATTTATTTAAAAAACAAAACAAAAATCTCCCATGCATCAAGACAGATTCAAGTATGACCATATATTTGTGTGATTGATTTTTGTGAGTGCCTTGTGGAGAAACCTAAATAACAAGAGTCTCTGGTGAGTACAGTCCCACTATTCAGTGTTTTATAAGTTATAATAAGCCCTCTAATGCATGCATTCAAATTCAAACAAATATTATCACCTAAATGTACAATATTTCTAAAAAAACTAAAAGTATCTAATATAAGGACTTGAGACATTTCATCATTGTTAATTGTAATCAACTGCATATTTTAGGAAATATATTGTAATCCTTTTCAAACTATTTTTTACATGTAACTTTCTACTATTTTTTAGACTAGATATTTGCTCTTTCTTCATAAAGAAACCTGTATATGTTATAATTGTCAAAAACAAAAACACTTTACCCCTATATTTAAATAATTGACACAAATGTTACAAAAGCATCATCCAGAGCAAAAATACTGCAAGAATACAAAGTTGATTTAAATGTGTGTGAGAAGTCTAACCATTATAGTAAGTTTAATATAGATGATAGTAGAAAAAAATGTTCCTGTTGATTCTCATTTTGAAAAACACTAGTGTTTTGTTTTACAATTTGAAATAAAAGTAGTTGAGAAAAACTATTACTATAATATTCATGATTGCCATCAGTTTTCTGTTGGAGAAAATATCAATATTACAAACAGTAGTTCAGTGACTTAGGGTGAGACTAAATAATACAGAGCAGGTAGGAGACACAGATGATTCTAAAATATTCACTCCACAGTAGAAATTCAAGTAAAGTTACATACCCAAAATTTTTCTTTCTGCCCCTGGGCTCCTCTCAGCATGCCCCATCTACAAATAATAATAATTATAATAAATATTGGTATGATTAATAATGTTTGACTTGCATCTTGATAAATGTAAATTATTTTCAGGATTGTATCTTTATTTTCCTTTGCCCCACCTTGTTTTACTATGAAACTGTCATCGTTGCCCTATTGAAATGTACTTGGATAGTTTTCTTTTTCACTATAACATTATGTACATTGTACTCATCTATATCCAAAGGTTTGAAATCAAACTCACTGACCAAAAGAGATAAGTCTTAGGGAAACTGGGGTAAGGAGGTTTATTTATTTATTTATTTAAATTTTTTTTGTTGTTTATTAATTTTAGAGAGAGGAAGTGAGAGAGAAAGAGCTAGAAACATCGATGAGAGAGAACATCCATTGTCCGCCTCCTGCATGACCCTGCATGGGGATTTGGTCCACAACCTAGGCATGTGCCCTGACCAGGAATTTAACTGATGACCTCTGGGTTCATTGGTCAATGCTCAACCACTGAGCCACACCAGCTAGGAGGTTTATTTTTTGTTTTTATTTTATTTATTATTTTTTATTAAAGTACAGTTGGCATAAAATAGTATGTTAGTTTCTGATTTAAAACAGAGACTTGATAGATGAATGGATAAAGATGTAGTATACATATACAATGAAACATTATTCAGCTATTAAAAAAAAGCTGACCATGTGTAACAACACAGATAAATCTACACAGTATTATGTTAGTGGAATAAGTTATAAAGAGAAAGAGAAATGCTTTATGATTTTACAGAGGTTTTAAAGTACTTAAAGATTTTTCCTTTCTTAATGCCTGGCCTTCTGAAACTCTACATAATGACATAAATTGCAAGCCTCTAAGACTAGTGATTAAGAACAAGTCAAATACAGATCATTGTTGTAGATAAGAGAATTTATGTAAAAATATTTATATGTATATATAATTGTATAAAGTGGCTATGCGTTTAATATGGAGTTGCTCTATATATGTGTATATATGGAAATAAAATAATATAATCATATGTATATATAATTTTATAAAGAGGCTATGCATTTAACATGGAGTTGCTCTATATATGTGTATATATGGAAATAAAATCCTATGTTCCCATTACTTGCTCATTTTCTGTAGCCTGTAACAGTTCACTAAGAACCCAAACCTACGATTTTTCCTTTTTTTTTCTCTTGACTAAACCCAGGGAGGCAGATGATACTAACATGTTCTATTTACTAATGAAATAACAAGATTTGTCCAAGATCACAGAGTGGGAAATGTTGAACCAGGACTCCTAATCACAAGCTCTTTTAAATATGTGATATTGCTTTTCTTATAAATATAGAGTCCCCAACTGCAGCGTGTCCTGAACAACATCAGCTTACTGTTGAGAAAGTATCCTGACTACCACTTCCATGGGATTTAACGGATTGTGAGAACACAGTCCTGCCTACATATCACCTCATTGACCCATCCCTAATATCCCAAATCCCAACAGCAGAACTCCTCCTAGCTAAATCATGCTGTGCCATAACATAACAAACATTCCTGGAAGAGATACAAATGTGTTGTTCAAATATTTTCAACATTTCAGTTTGCAGAAAGCTATTTTTCATAGGGTAGAGAACAAAATAATGGTACCATGGCATGGAGGTGTTGCCTAAAGATGACAGGTTTACGGTACAGACCTCGAGGCATTCAGAAAAATGTATTGATGGATTTGGATCCTTTGGCATCAGAAGGGGAGGGAAAAGTGATTCAGGGATAGGAAAACACTAAAGAACAATTTTTCTTTCTATTGTTCCCAATAGAGGTTAGGAGGGGGCAATTGCACTGTTTGTCATCTTTCTGTTAGTTCTTTGCTACACGCAAGAATAGAGTGCATCACTTTGAGGTTTCCAATATTTGGACAGTGTAATGGGTGAGTTTAAACTGGTCAATTTCCAAAACCATTTCTGTAGTTTTCTAATTACATTTATATCCTTTTAACTTTTCTTAAAAAAAAAAAAATCACTACTGAAAAATATTACCAGTCCTACACATGCTTCCAAATCTTTAGAGGACACTATGTACTTGAAGTAGTTATCATATCTGATACTTTAAGACATTCATTTCTACTCACTTTTTTATCATGACTATCAAAACAATTTCAGAAACATTTACCACTCAATCAAATTTGCTTTTAGACGGTCTGGTGACTAGTTGCTTAACATAAAATACAAAACTAAATCAGAAGAATCTAAGAAACAATCCAACTCCCAAATTATACAGGAAGCAGGGAACCCCATAGCTGAGACTCCACTAGATTTGTAAGAAGCTGGGGGCAGACTTGCTTGAGGTCCTAGGACCCTCCAGGAAAGAACTCCCAAACAAGAAGTAGGTATTCAGCCCTGCTGACCGGCCCATGTGGTTCAGTGGAATGAGTATTGTCTCATGCACCAAGAGGTCACTGGTATGATTATGGTCAGGGTACATGCCTGGGTTGTGGCCTCAATCCCCATTAGAGGGCATGCAGGAGGCAGCTGATCAATGTTTCTCTCTCATCAATGTTTCTATTTCTCTCTCCCTATCCCTTACTCTCTAACAACATCAATAATAATGATATCATTGTAATTAACCTAGTTATACATAACAGGAAAGGAGCAAAGGGAAGGTCAAATATAATAGGCATGTTATTTGTTCAGCTTTGCCAGGAAGCTGCAACACTCCCCAGGAAGCAACCAGTCTATTCCCCACAGTTTGCTGGAGGAAGGGACTGGACAGAGGGAAGAACAGGCACATGCCCAGTAAAGTCTGGGTGAAATAGGGAAAGTACTTGCCCATCAGTCGCACCTGGGAACAGATCATTGGCCAGAATAGGTGGGACCACTGCAAGCATGGGAAGATTTGCAATAATCTCTTAAGCAAAGGAGTTTGCACTCTTGTGCTCTTGGCTTCTGGCTCTCTTGTTGCAGGGGGTGTGTTCTCTTGGATCCCCTGCATTCACCCACATGGCCCTCAGCTTATGGACCCCACATGCAAGGGACCAATGGACTGCAACTAGCCTGGTGCTGTACTGGACCTAATTCCAACATGGAATGGAAATATTGGTCACTGGCTTCTAGCTCCTCTGAATTCCTAGCTGCTTATCTTCCAGGACTGGATGAAGGGACATGGGACTTCAGTAATGCAAAGATGTAATTCAATGAAAATAAAGCTTTCTACCACATCTCATCTTCCCTTGCATATTCCAAAATGTTTATTGCAGGGGTTCCCCAAGAACCCACTTCCACTAGCAACAGAGGAAGACCATCTATGCTTTTCTCTGATAACAGAAACACATTTTTTTAAATGAAAGAAATAGGCATTCAGATATGGCAAGCTTGATCTAGTAATTAAGCCTTGATCTAATGAGAGGAGGAGCAATTGAGACTATAACTTGTTCCCTGATACTCAAATCTATCCATATTCAGCTCTGACACTGGACTCAAAAAAGTTCAGAATTGGAGAAGGGGAAAGTCAGACTTATTATTAAAACTCAAAAGAGCTTTTTTTTTATTAAAAACTTTGTATATTCTATAAAATACTTTAATAACACTCAAACAGAAGATAACACCATAGTGAGTAAAAGTTTCTTTATCACTTTGTAAGATCTTTCAAACTTCTTGGGCTCCAATGCATTGAGGATGATGTATAGGAAAACAAAGAAATATTCAAGAGAGGGGATAGAAAAAACATACAAGAAAAATGCACCATGAAATAAATATTGTTTTTATTAATAAGACCATTTAAATTTGCCTGGGGACTCTCAGAAATACTGAGACAATGTTTGGGGGCATGAAAATTTACAATTGTATATAGACTTAAGATTTAGCAAAATAAGGACTACCCATTATTCTATTTCCAACAGATCAGAGACCAACTAATTCTAAAAAAACGGACTTTTTCCTCACAAAGGAAAAGAGGCACTTCAGATAGTAGTTGTATAATTTTTTTTGCTAGCGTCACCAAATAATTTATAAGTAAAATAATCTACCTTAGTTTGGAGACATCTAAGTAATATAAACTATCACATCTACTTTTATTCAATTGCATATATTTTTCATATGTTCCTATAAATTTTGTATAACTATCTAAGTAAAATTTTCAATGATATAACAGATAGCAATAATTCCATTCTTGCAAATCTATCAACTCTTTGGAGTGCTATAAATTTTTCTTTCAAGAAACATTGCTGTTTATTATCAACTTAAAAAGCATTATTTAAAATACCAGTCATGTTTAACCCAGAGAGAATACCAGCATTCAGATTATTATAAAACATCTCAAAATGGAGAGAAATACAAATGAACTCTTCAAATAAGGTGAGGGGGGGTGGAAAGTAAAGACAGTCTGCTGAATCTGATAGTTACAGAGACTAGGATGCTTGGGAAAGAAAATTGTAAAAAAAAAAGATGTTAAGTTTTATGCAAAATTCAGATGGGAAGAAAACATCACACTTTACCATAGAAGCTATGGTGCACCCCGCCCCCATGTTACATCCTTCATGTCAAGTAACAAACCAAGTCCATCCATCACAAAATCTAACACTGGCACTGTGACCTTCAGTTAACTTTTCTCTCCACAACTTCTTCAGACAGTCAGACAGTTCCTAAAATAGCAATCAAATAGCCCCGAGTTGCAACCGGGTGTTGTAGAAAAATAGATCTGTGGGTTATTTTCTAAATATCCCATGCTTTGCAAGATTAGGAAAAATCACTTTGCCCTCGATGATTTCCCATTGGTATCATAGCAAACACATGTACTAAAAATCACTGTGAGGGTCTAGAATGAGTCACCACAAGATGTGCCTCTATGGTATGTAGATTATTTTGAGCTAAAGGCAACTTTAGCCTCAGGCTCAAGAGAAACATCTGCCTCCTACACGAACTACCTAGAAAAACGTGAATTAGAGGCCTTGCCCATGAGGTTACCAGAGATAACTTTTTTTGACCTATCTACAGCGCAGGGCAAACTTCTATTTACTAAAGCTCTGCACT